CCTATGGCAGTCTCTATGGGGGTGCCACAGGGTTCAATTCTTGGGCCGACACTTTTCTCCGTGTATATCAATGATGTCGCTCTTGCTGCTGGTGACTCTCAGATCCACCTCTACGCAGACGACACCATTTTGTATACATCTGGCCCTTCATTGGACACTGTGTTAACAAACCTCCAAACGAGCTTCAATGCCATACAACAATCCTTCAGTAGCCTCCAACTGCTCTTAAACACTAGTAAAACTAAATGCATGCTTTTCAATCGAACGCTGCTGGCACCCGCCCACCCGACTAGAATCACCACTCTCGACGGGTCTGACCTAGAGTATGTGGACAACTACAAATACCTAGGTGTCTGGTTAGACTGTAAACTCAACTTCCAGACTCACATAAAGAATCTCCAATCCAAAGTTAAATCTAGAATCGGCTTCCTATTTCGCAACAAAGCCTCCTTCACTCATGCTGCCAAACATGCCCTCGTAAAACTGACTATCCTACCGATCCTTGACTTCGGCGATGTCATTTACAAAATAGCCTCCAACACTCTACTCAGCAAATTGGATGTAGTCTATCACAGTGCCATCCGTTTTGTCTCCAAAGCCCCATACACTACCCACCACTGTGACCTGTACGCTCTTGTTGGCTGGTCCTCACTACATGTTCGTCGTCAAACCCACTGGCTCCAGGCCATCTATAAATCACTGCTAGGCAAATCCCCGCCTTATCTTAGCTCATTGGTCACCATAGCAGCACCCACCCGTAGTCTGCGCTCCAGCAGGTATATCTCACTGGTCATTCCCAAAGCCAACACCTCCTTTGGCCGCCATTCCTTCCAGTTCTCTGCTGCCAATGACTGGAACGAATTGCAAAAATCTCTGAAGCTGGAGACTCTTATCTCCCTCAATAACTTTAAGCATCAGTTGTCAGAGCACCTTACCGATCACTGCACCTGTACACAGCCCATCTGAAATTAGCCCACCCAACTACCTCATCCCTATATTGTTATTTATTTTGCTCTTTTGCACCCCAGTATCTCTATTTGCACATAATCTCTTGCACATCTAGCATTCCAGTGTTAATACTATTGTAATTATTCTGCACTATAGCCTATTTATTGCCTTACCTCCATAACTTGCTACATTTGCACACACTGTATATATATTTTCTGTTGTATTTCTGACTTTATGTTTTTTACCCCATATGTAACTCTGTGTTGTTTTTTATTGCACTACTTTGCTTTATCTTGGCCAGGTCGCAGTTGTAAATGAGAACCTGTTCTCAACTGGCTTACCTGGTTAAATAAAGGTGAAATAAAAATAAATAAAAAAATACTACAGTGTCAGTATAGATAGAGGTCTATATGAGTACAGACTCTGTTACTATGGAGACTTACTACAGTGTCAGTATAGAGGTCTATATGAGTACAGACCCTGTTACTATGGAGACTTACTACAGTATCAGTATAGAGGTCTATATGAGTACAGACCCTGTTACTATGGATACTTACTACAGTGTCAGTATTGAGGTCTATATGAGTACAGACTCTGTTATTAACTGTTGCCAGACACAGGTGGGTCTTGAAAGACAATTATCTTCCTCAATAGTCTGCAGCGAATTCTACTAGATGAAAAGCCGAAATGAGTACGACGTCCTGGCATTTAAAGCATACTCAATTTTCGAAATTTCACATACTATAAAACGTTCTATTTTCTTATACCCAAAATAACTACTAAGTATGGGTATTTGGACACGGCCTATGTCTGTTAAAACATGGTTATTTAAAATATGTTATGTTGAACATGCTCTCTGCTACAGCTCATGTTATATAGACTCATCAAGTCTTGGGTTCAAGAAATGGACTAAATGAATAAAATGTACCATTGTTATTATCCGTACTGACTGTAGTGAATGGAACTAACTGCATTGTGATGATGTACAGTTTGCACAACTCTGGGTTATATCATATTGTAATGAGCTGAGAGAGAAGGACAAGGTCTTTAGTGGGTCGCGAACACAGATTAGTTATATCATATTGTAATGAACTGAGAGAGAAGGACAAGGTCTCTAGTGGGTCGTGAACCCAGATTGGTTATATCATATCGTAATGAACTGAGGGAGAAGGACAAGGTCTTTAGTGGGTCACGAACACAGATTGGTTATATCATATTGTAATGAACTGAGAGAGAAGGACAAGGTCTCTAGTGGGTCGTGAACCCAGATTGGTTATATCATATCGTAATGAACTGAGGGAGAAGGACAAGGTCTTTAGTGGGTCGCGAACACAGATTGGTTATATCATATTGTAATGAACTGAGAGAGAAGGACAAGGTCTCTAGTGGGTCGTGAACCCAGATTGGTTATATCATATCGTAATGAACTGAGGGAGAAGAACAAGGTCTCTAGTGGGTCGTGAACCCAGATTGGTTATATCATATTGTAATGAACTGAGAGAGAAGAGCAAGGTCTCTAGTGGGTCGTGAACCCAGATTGGTTATATCATATCGTAATGAACTGAGGGAGAAGGACAAGGTCTTTAGTGGGTCGCGAACACAGATTGGTTATATCATATTGTAATGAACTGAGAGAGAAGGACAAGGTCTCTAGTGGGTCGTGAACCCAGATTGGTTATATCATATCGTAATGAACTGAGGGAGAAGAACAAGGTCTCTAGTGGGTCGTGAACCCAGATTGGTTATATCATATCGTAATGATCTGAGGGAGAAGGACAAGGTCTCTAGTGGGTCGTGAACCCAGATTGGTATATCATATCGTAATGAACTGAGAGAGAAAACAAGGTCTCTAGTGGGTCGTGAACCCAGATTGGTTATATCATATCGTAATGAACTGAGAGAGAAGGACAAGGTCTCTAGTGGGTCGTGAACCTAGATTGGTTATATGATATCGTAATGAACTGAGAGAGAAGGACAAGGTCTCTAGTGGGTCGTGAACCCAGATTGGTTATATCATATCGTAATGAACTGAGGGAGAAGGACAAGGTCTCTAGTGGTCACGAACTCAGATTGGTTATATCATATTGTAATGAACTGAGGGAGAAGAACAAGGTCTCTAGTGGGTCGTGAACCCAGATTGGTTATATCATATCGTAATGAACTGAGGGAGAAGGACAAGGTCTCTAGTGGGTCGTGAACCCAGATTGGTATATCATATCGTAATGAACTGAGAGAGAAAACAAGGTCTCTAGTGGGTCGTGAACCCAGATTGGTTATATCATATCGTAATGAACTGAGAGAGAAGGACAAGGTCTCTAGTGGGTCGTGAACCTAGATTGGTTATATGATATCGTAATGAACTGAGAGAGAAGGACAAGGTCTCTAGTGGGTCGTGAACCTAGATTGGTTATATGATATCGTAATGAACTGAGGGAGAAGGACAAGGTCTCTAGTGGGTCGTGAACCCAGATTGGTTATATCATATCGTAATGAACTGAGGGAGAAGGACAAGGTCTCTAGTGGTCACGAACCCAGATTGGTTATATCATATTGTAATGAACTGAGAGAGAAGAGCAAGGTCTCTAGTGGGTCGTGAACCCAGATTGGTTATATCATATTGTAATGAACTGAGAGAGAAGAGCAAGGTCTCTAGTGGGTCGTGAACCCAGATTGGTTATATCATATCATAATGAACTGAGGGAGAAGAACAAGGTCTCTAGTGGGTCGTGAACCCAGATTGGTTATATCATATCGTAATGAACTGAGGGAGAAGGACAAGGTCTCTAGTGGGTCGTGAACCCAGATTGGTATATCATATCGTAATGAACTGAGAGAGAAAACAAGGTCTCTAGTGGGTCGTGAACCCAGATTGGTTATATCATATCGTAATGAACTGAGGGAGAAGGACAAGGTCTCTAGTGGGTCGTGAACCCAGATTGGTTATATCATATCGTAATGAACTGAGGGAGAAGGACAAGGTCTCTAGTGGTCACGAACCCAGATTGGTTATATCATATTGTAATGAACTGAGGGAGAAGGACAAGGTCTTTAGTGGGTCGCGAACACAGATTGGTTATATCATATTGTAATGAACTGAGAGAGAAGGACAAGGTCTCTAGTGGGTCGTGAACCCAGATTGGTTATATCATATCATAATGAACTGAGGGAGAAGAACAAGGTCTCTAGTGGGTCGTGAACCCAGATTGGTTATATCATATCGTAATGAACTGAGGGAGAAGGACAAGGTCTCTAGTGGGTCGTGAACCCAGATTGGTATATCATATCGTAATGAACTGAGAGAGAAAACAAGGTCTCTAGTGGGTCGTGAACCCAGATTGGTTATATCATATCGTAATGAACTGAGAGAGAAGGACAAGGTCTCTAGTGGGTCGTGAACCTAGATTGGTTATATGATATCGTAATGAACTGAGAGAGAAGGACAAGGTCTCTAGTGGGTCGTGAACCCAGATTGGTTATATCATATCGTAATGAACTGAGGGAGAAGGACAAGGTCTCTAGTGGTCACGAACCCAGATTGGTTATATCATATTGTAATGAACTGAGAGAGAAGGACAAGGTCTCTAGTGGGTCGTGAACCCAGATTGGTTATATCATATCGTAATGAACTGAGGGAGAAGGACAAGGTCTTTAGTGGGTCGTGAACCCAGATTGGTTATATCATATTTTAATGAACTGAGGGAGAAGGACAAGGTCTCTAGTGGGTTTGCGAACACAGATCGCCTGGCCCAAAGAGAAAGGCCCTAGCTAGACACAATCCCAATAAGGATATCCCTGAGGGAGAGATGGTGATGTGTTTATCATCTAGGGTCATTACACTACTCCAGTTCCAATAATACTCTCTAGGCCTGCGTCCGAAATGGCACCCTATTCACTATGTAGTGCACTACTTTTGACCAGGGCACATAGAGGGCTCTGGTCAAAAGTAGTGCACTGTATAGGAAATAGGGTGCCACTTCAGAGGCGTCCTCGGTTGAGCTCATGAACCAATGAGTGACAGGAGAAGTGGTTGTGGTGACATCTCATCTCTCAGGATGGTATCACTGACTAACTGTTTGCCTGAGGTCAGTTCTGGTGGGATAGAGAGGTAGAGACGTATCACTGATTAACTGTTTGTCTGTGATCAGTTCTGGTGGGATAGAGAGATAGAGACGTATCACTGACTAACTGTTTGCCTGAGGTCAGTTCTGGTGGGATAGAGAGGTAGAGACGTATCACTGACTAACTGTTTGTCTGTGATCAGTTCTGGTGGGATAGAGAGATGGAGACGTATCACTGACTAACAAGTCTCCTTCAGCGGTCCAGGAAGGTCCAGGAAGGTCCAGGAAGGTCCAGGAAGGGCCCTCTCAACAGTTCTCACCTCCTTGTTTACTCATAGTCTATACCGTTTACAGATGGTACACTCCCCTTAAGTGCTCTTCTTACTTCCCCTTGTCTGGTAGAGACCTGATTAGTGTTGTCACGATACCAGCCGATAGGGCTCCTGTAACTGATATCAGAATTAAAATACCTGGGCCCTATTCACAAAGTGTCTCAGATTAGGAGTGCTAATCTAGGATCAGTTTCGCCTTTTAGATAAGAATGAAGATGACAGGGGGGACCAGATCCTAGATCAGCCCTCCTACTCTGCGAGGCTTTGTGAATAAAGGCCCTGGTTTGTTATACTTAGATATTCCAGGTTGAATGTGCCCCCTAAACCCTGGGTCGTCTGCAGTCAACAAGACCATTAGCCCACTGAGCTATAGTTTGGGGAGCTAAAACAAGTCTTCGGGTCTCTGGTCTGAGGCAAGGTTACTCATCATACTTCTGGGATTCACTGAACCACCTATGTTAGACTTCATACCTGATGACATCATATGATGTGATCACCTTGATGACATCACACTTTGACCTGTGACCTTGTGTTGACATCTCACCTTACCAGGACACCTCCAGGCAGGAGACCAGATCTTGGAGGTGAACGGGGAGAGTTTGCTAGGGGTCACCAGTGAAAGGTAGGTTCAACAACAACAACAACTCTCTCTTCAGTGGGAAAATACCAAAAAGAACAGTGAAATGTTGTGTGACATGAACGTTTTGTTTTTTATGTTATTGTTTTATACAGAGCAGTAGACGTTCTGAGATCAGCGTCCTCGAGCAATCACATGCGCCTTCTGATCGCCAGAGACGAGGAAGCAAGGTAGGCCCTGAGGACCATGTCTAGATATGAGATGAACACGACCACATATCATCGACACATTCTGTAGGACCCTGAGGGACCATATCTAGATATGAGATGCACACGACCACATATCTTCCTCCTCTACTAACACTTCATCCCTCCCTTTCCACTTCCACACGAAGCCGACCTTGCCCAGAGCACGCTTCGGAAGAAGAAATAGACCACGATAGCGCGCGAACGCACTCGGCACGTTCCATTCCGCACTCCTCCTCTCCAACTCTCCTACACTCTTCATTCACTTCCGCTCCTCCTGCCTCTCCTCCGCTCTCCTCCTCCTCTTCCTCCTCCTACTCCTCCTCCTTTTCCTCCTCCTACTCCTCGTCTTACATTTACATTTTAGTCATTTAGCAGACGCTCTTATCCAGAGCGACTTACAGTTAGTGATTACATATTTTTTTTATACTGGCCCCCCGTGGGAATCGAACCCACAACCCTGGCGTTGCAAACGCCATGCTCTATCAACTGAGCTACATCCCTGCCGGCCATTCCCTCCCCTACCCTAGACGACGCTGGGCCAATTGTGCGCCGCCCATGAGTCTCCCGGTCGCGGCCGGCTGCGACAGAGCCTGGATTTGAACCAGGATCTCTAGTGGCACAGTTAGCACTGCGATGCAGTGCCTTAGACCACTGCGCCACTCAGGAGCTAATAGGAGTAGTAGGAGTACCTCCTACTACTCTTCTTCCTCCTCTCAAAAACTGAGATTATTAAATAGATGCCGTTTTTAATTATTCAAAGAAAAAATTAATAATTTTGTTGATAAACCAGATGGTTGGCATGGCACTGAGAGTTTTTTTGGCTTCCTCTTCAAAGAGGAATAACCCTGGCAGTGGCATGGTGAACATTTTGGGCAGGGTTTTTGGGCTGGAACGCCCTCACTCTGCCTCGGGCACTTCCTGGCTCTCTCTCCACCCCTGGCAGCTAGCACCTAGCAACAAGAGCATTAATGGAAAGACTGTTAATCCAAACTGATGAACTCGTGAACTTGCTACGCTGATCCTCAACACGGGGCCCCACAAGGGTGTGTGCTTAGCCCCCTCATGTACTCCCTGTTCACCCATGACTGCGTGGCCACGCACGTCTCCAACTCAATCATCAAGTTTGCAGACGACACAACAGTGGTAGGCCTGATTACCAATAACGACGAGACATCCTACGGGGAGAAGGTGAGGGCCCTGGCGGAGTGGTGCCAGGAAAATACCAAAACAAAGGAGCTGATCATGGACTTCAGGAGACAGCAGAGGGACCACGCTCCCATCCACATCGACGGGACCGCAGTGGAGAGGGTGAAAAGCTTCAAGTTCTTCAGCGTACACATCACTGATAACCTGAAATAGTCCATCCACACAGACAGTGTGGTGAAGAAGGCGCAACAGCATCTCTTCAACCTCAGGAGGCTAAAGAAATTCAGCTTGGCCCTCTGAGATCCTCACGATGCACCATTGAGAGCATCCTGTCGGGCTGTATCACCGCCTGTCAACTCTCTAGAGGGTGGTGTGGTCAGCCCAATTATCACCGGGGGCACACTGCTTTGCCTCCAGGACATCTACAGCACCCTGTGTCACAGGAAGGCCAAGAAAATCATCAAGGACCTCAGCCACCAGAGCCATGGCCTGTTCACCCCGGTGGAGACAGTACAGGTGCATCAAAGCTGGGACAGAGAGACTGATAAACAGCTTCTTTCTCCAGGCCATCGGACTGTTAAATAGTCACCACTAGCCGGCCTCCGCCCAGTACCCTTCCCTAAACGTAGTCACTGTTACTAGCACACCATCATATACATCTACAGTGCCTTCGGAAAGAATTCAGACCCCTTGACTTTTTCCTCATTCTGTTAGGTTACAACCTTATTCTAAAATGGATTAAATAGTTTTTTCCCCCCCTCATCAATCTACACACAATACCCCATAATGACAAACCCAAAAACAGGTTTTTAGCAATGTTTGCTAATTTATAAAAATAAAATAAAATGGAAATATCACATTTACATAAGTATTCAGACCCTTTACTCAGTACTTTGTTGAAGCACCTTTGGCAGCGATTACAGCCTCGAGTCTTCTTGGGTATGAAGCTACAAGCTTGGCACACCTTCTTCTCTGCAGATCGTCTCAAGCTCTGTCATGTTCGATGGGGAGTGTTGCTGCACAGCTATTTTCAGGTCTCTCCAGAGATGTTCGATCGGGTTCAAGTCCGAGCTCTGGCTCAGATCTGTGCCTCGAAACAATCCTGTCTCTGAGCTCTACGGGCAATTCCTTCGACCTCATGGCTTGGTTTTTGCTCTGACATGCACTGTCAACTGTGGGACCTTATATAGACAGGTGTGTGCCTTTCCAAATTATGTCCAATCAATTGAATTTACCACAGGTGGACTCCAATCAAGTTGTAGAAACATCTCAAGGATGATCAATGGAAACAGGATGCACTTGAGCTCAATTTCGAGTCTCATAGCAAAGGGTCTGAATACTTATGTAAATATGGTATTTCTGTTTTTTACATTTTAATACATTTGTAAAAATTTCTAAAAAACTGTTTTTGCTTTGTCATTATGGGGTATTGTGTGTAGATTGCTGAGGAAAATGTTTTATTTAATCTATTTTAGAATAAGGCTGTAACGTAACAAAATGTGGAAAAGGTCAAGGGGTCTGAATACTTTCCGAAGGCGCTGTATATTTATATTCTGGACTCTGCCATTGCTCGTTCTGATATTTCTTTGATTTCTTTCTTTAATTTTGGGGGGGATTTGTGTGTATTGTTTTATATTGTTAGGTATTACTGCACTGTTGGAGCTAGAAACATAAGCATTTCCCTGCGATAACATCTGCAAAATGTGTATGCAACCACAAAAATTTGATTTGATTTTAACTCACAAGGGAAAGTCTGGGAAGGGAACCGCATTACACAGCAAACACAGCACAATATAACTTTTACTACGTTATGAATTCTTGATTTGCTCTAAACAGCCAGTGCAAGGTTAACAGAGAGGACCTGCATCCTCCACCCATCATATTCTGCCATCTGGTAGCCTATTGTTTTTAGCATGTAACATTTAGGCTGGTTGCTAATCTAACCGCGATGCCATAGCAACAACCGACTGGGTGGTCAGTTTTGACAACGTGAGTCAGCATAAAACCAGGTCACACTAGCTGTCACATGCACACACACACACACACACACACACACACACACACACACACACACACACACACACACACACACACACACACACACAATAAGGCAGGCTATACAGGCTACAGAATGTACAAGCTACTGGCAGGAGAAGCAGGAAAGTTACGGGCAGGAAAGCAGGCTACAGACAGGAAAGCAGGATACATGCAGGAAAGCAGGCTACAGACATGAAAGCAGGCTACAGGCAGGAAAGCAGGCTACAGACAGGAAAGCAAGCTACAAGCAGGAAAGCAGGCTACAGGCAGGAAAGCAGGCTACAGGCAGGAAAGCAGGCTACAGGCTAAGCTGTGGACAGTACTCATGATGAGATGAGCCTGTGCTTCTCACATCGTTCTGTAATCTGTGTTCTGTGCCTTAACCAACACTCAGAGCTCAGCACAAGGCAGGAGGGATGGAGAGGAGAAGACAGGAGGGGAAAGGAGAGGAGGAAGGAGAAGACAGGAGGGGAAAGGAGAGGAGGAGAGGAGAAGACAGGAGGGGAAAGGAGAGGAGGAGGGGAGAAGACAGGAGGGGAAAGGAGAGGAGAGGGGAGAAGACAGGAGGGGAAAGGAGAGGAGAGAGGAGAAGACAGGAGGGGAAAGGAGAGGAGGAAGGAGAAGACAGGAGGGGAAAGGAGAGGGGAGAGGAGAAGACAGGAGGGGAAAGGAGAGGAGAGGGGAGAAGACAGGAGGGGAAAGGAGAGGAGAGGAGAGGAGAAGACAGGAGGGGAAAGGAGAGGAGAGGGGAGAAGACAGGAGGGGAAAGGAGAGGAGAGGAGAGGAGAGGAGAAGACAGGAGGGGAAAGGAGAGGAGAGGGGAGAAGAGGGGATGGAGGGATTATGCCTTTCCATTTCTGTTCCAGCCTCTCTCTTCATCCCCCCCCTCTCTCTCTCTCTAATCCCCCTCTCCCGCTCTCTAATTCTTTCCCTTGTTCTCCCTTGTTCTGTATCTCCTCCATGCTATTTCAGTCCACTACGCAGTAACATTAACCTGCTTCTTAAAGCCTTAGTACCCTTTATCTGTGATGAGAGGGGGTCAGAAATAGAAAGGGAATATGAAACTAGAGCCAGGGAATCCTGTTGAAATAAACACTTACAATATAGACCAAAATAATATAGACAAAATATAGACCAACATTTAAAACCCCAAAATGGATATTTGTATACAGTAGCTCAATGGCTCCGGTTCTTCATTCCCATTAGTGAGACTCCAAACTGCTAGAGATTGTGTCTTTGGTGTCGGCCACCTTAACCACCAGTCAGTCCCGTTAGTGACATCAGATCACCACGCGACCCTATGTGACCTCTGAGGTCGTTAATCCATCTGACCCAGATGCCCATCCTGATGGTGATATGAAGGAAGACATGCAGACACAACGACAATATATGTACATTCCTCCTGCATTGAGGTTAAATATACCAGAGATTCAGACTGGACATTCCTCCTGCAGTGAGGTTAAATATACCACAGATTCAGACTGGACATTCCTCCTGCAGTGAGGTTAAATATACCAGAGATTCAGACTGGACATTCCCCTGCAGTGAGGTTAAATATACCAGAGATTCAGACTGGACATTCCTCCTGCAGTGAGGTTAAATATAACAGAGATTCAGACTGGACATTCCCCTGCAGTGAGGTTAAATATACCAGAGATTCAGACTGGACATTCCCCTGCAGTGAGGTTAAATATAACAGAGATTCAGACTGGACATTCCCCTGCAGTGAGGTTAAATATACCAGAGATTCAGACTGGACATTTTCCTGCAGTGAGGTTAAATATACCAGAGATTAAGACTGGACATTCCCCCTGCAGTGAGGTTAAATACACCAGAGATTCAGACTGGACATTCCCCTGCAGTGAGGTTAAATACACCAGAGATTCAGACTAGACATTCCCCTGCAGTGAGGTTAAATATACCAGAGATTCCGACTGGACATTCCCCTGCAGTGAGGTTAAATATAACAGAGATTCAGACTGGACATTCCCCTGCAGTGAGGTTAAATACACCAGAGATTCAGACTGGACATTCCCCTGCAGTGAGGTTAAATATACCAGAGATTCAGACTGGACATTCCCCTGCAGTGAGGTTAAATATACCAGAGATTCAGACTGGACATTCCCCTGCATTGAGGTTAAATATACCAGAGATTCAGACTGGACATTCCCCTGCAGTGAGGTTAAATATACCAGAGATTAAGACTGGACATTCCTCCTACAGTGAGGTTAAATATACCAGAGATTCAGACTGGACATTCCTCCCGCAGTGAGGTTAAATATACCAGAGATTAAGACTGGACATTCCCCTGCAGTGAGGTTAAATATACCAGAGATTCAGACTGGACATTCCCCTGCAGTGAGGTTAAATATACCAGAGATTCAGACTGGACATTCCCCTGCATTGAGGTTAAATATACCAGAGATTCAGACTGGACATTCCCCTGCAGTGAGGTTAAATATACCAGAGATTAAGACTGGACATTCCTCCTACAGTGAGGTTAAATATACCAGAGATTCAGACTGGACATTCCCCTGCATTGAGGTTAAATATACCAGAGATTCAGACTGGACATTCCCCTGCAGTGAGGTTAAATATACCAGAGATTCAGACTGGACATTCCTCCTGCAGTGATGTTAAATATACCAGAGATTCAGACTGGACATTCCTCCTGCAGTGAGTAGGAACGGAATCCAGTGCTCTGACCATTATTCCTTTCCAGTGGAGAATGATGTCAGTCAGTTAGACTTACATGTTGACAGGTGACTGTGGAGCCCAATCCTGGAGGCACAGGTTCTACTACTACTACTACTGCTACTACTACTTCTACTACTACTACTACTACTACTACTGCTACTGCTACTGCTACTGCTATTACTACTACTACTACTACTACTACTACTATTACTGCTACTGCTACTACTACTACTGCTACTACTACTATTACTGCTACTGCTACTACTACTACTGCTACTACTACTACTACTACTGCTACTGCTACTGCTACTGCTATTACTACTACTACTACTACTACTACTACTACTGCTACTACTACTACTACTACTACTACTACTACTACTACTACTACTGCTACTGCTACTGCTACTGCTACTACTGCTACTACTACTACTACTACTACTACTACTACTACTACTACTACTACTACTGCTACTGCTACTGCTAATACTGCTACTGCTACTACTACTACTACTACTACTACTACTACTACTACTGCTACTACTGCTACTACTGCTACTGCTACTACTACTACTACTACCACACACACACACACACACACACACACACACACACACACACACACACACACACACACACACACACACACACACACACACACACACACACACACACACACACAGGAAGGGCATGTTGAAGAGCTACTGAGCCTCACAGAGCTGATCAGATCAGTCTAATCCCTCCTGTCTTGGGTCAGAGAGGGGTCATCCTTCCTGTCTGAGGGTCTTCTCCAAATGAGTCTGGATCTGAGTACCTCCTCGACAATTTCTAGAACGCAAACACATTCTAACCGTTCTCATTGGTCCCAGAAACCGATGGCCAGAACACACGAGGGTAAAGTGGCGTTTTGAAAATTCTTCATTGGCTTTAATACTCTGATTGGTTAGAGATGATCCAATTGCTGATTACTTTGTTTTGTACAACACCCCTCATTTTGACGTCACCGCAAACGACTTCAATGATGGCAGTCACAGACTGAAATATGAAGCGAACATAGAGGAAGAATTCAGTTTGAGTCGACAGGCAACAGGAAAGACTGCTAACCCATAACTGACAGTCAAATCAAATCAAATCAAATTGTATTTGTCAAATGCGCCGAATACAACAGGTGTAGACCTTACCGTGAAATGCTTACTTACAAGCCCTTAACCAACAATGCAGTTCAAGAAATAGAGTTAGGAAAATATTTACTAAATAAATTAAAGTAAACATTTAAATAAAAAGTAACACAATAAAATAACAATAACGAGGCTATATACAGGGGTTTCCGGTACCGAGTCAATGTGCGGGGGTACAGGTTAGTCGAGGTAATTTGTACATGTAGGTAGGGGTAATCAGTCTGCAATCAGTCAGTCTGGAGGTGAGGGGTCTGGGAGGAGTGAAAGGGAGGAGAGAGAGATGGTTTGGAGAAAGGAGGGGAGGAGAGAGTGGGATGGAGTGGTGAGGGGGGAGAGGAGGGAAGGAGAGAGAGATGGAGTGGAGAAAGGAGGGGAGGAGAGAGTGGGATGGAGTGGTGAGGGGGGAGAGGAGGGAAGGAGAGAGAGATGGAGTGGAGAGAAATTGACCTTAGGGAATTGGTCTGTAGCTCTTAGGTCATACTGTCCTTGTCTCATTGGTACAGGAGAGATTTCCTCCACACTGACTGGCCCTTACCCCCAACCCCAGAAAGGTGTACACCATATGGCAGTGCTAGCTGCTTCTGGTCTAGGTGGGGTATCTGCAGCAAGGACTTGAAATAGAAAGAGAATACAGAAAGAGGAAAACATTCAATAAATGCGCAAGTGAGATGAAAAACCACCTGTCCTCTACAATTGTTACATAAAAAGCATATTATACCAAGCAATGCCCAGCATTCAAATAAAATCACACATTTGATTGGGGATCATTCAGTGGATGTACCTGGTCCGGAAATCTGTCTGGAATCAAATCTATTATTAAGATCAAACAACGACACTGAGGGAATACCAGGACATGTTCTCTCTCTCTCTCTCTCTCTCTCTCTCTCTCTCTCTCTCTCTCTCTCTCTCTCTCTCTCTCTCTCTCTCTCTCTCGCTCTCTCTCTCTCTCTCTCTCTCTCTCTCTCTCTGAAGAAGTCGCTGTTGCGCCTTCTTCACCACACTGTCTGTGTGGGTGGACCATTTCAGATCGTCAGTGATGTGTACGCCGAGGAACTTGCAGCTTCCCACCTTCTCCACTGCGGTCCTGTCGTTGTGAATAGGGGCATACTCCCTCTGCTGTTTCCTGAAGTCCACGATCAGCTCCTTTGTTTTGTTGACGTTGAGTGAGAGGTTATTTTCCTGGCACCACACTCCCAGGGCCCTCACCTCCTCCCTGTAGGCTGTCTCGTTAATTGATGGTAATCTGGCCTACTACTGTTGTGTCGTCTGCAAACTTGATGATTGAGTTGGAGGCGTGCGTGGCCACGCAGTCATGGGTGAACAGGGAGTACAGGAGGGGGCTGAGAACGCAGCCTTGTGGGGCCCCTGTGTTGAGGATCAGTGAAGTGGAGATGTTGTTTCCTACCTTCACCACCTGGGGGGGGGGTCCGTCAGGAAGTCCAGGACCCAGTTGCACAGGGCGGGGTTCAGACCCAGGGCCCCGAGCTTAATGATGAGCTTGTAGGGTACTATGGTGTTGAATGCTGAGCTGTAGTCAATGAGCAGCATTCTTACATAGGTATTCCTCTTGTGCAGATGGAATAGGGCATTGTGCAGTGTGATGGCGATCTGCATCGTCTGTGGATCTATTGGGGCGGTAAGCAAATTGAAGTGGGTCTAGGGTGACAGGTAAGGTAGAGGTGATATGATCCTTAACTAGCCTCTCAAAGCACTTCATGATGACAGAAGTGAGTGCTAAGGGGCAATAGTCATTGAGTTCTAATGAGTGTGCAGTTCTAAGAGCGGACCTGTTGTTGGGGATGTGTGTGTCTTTATTTCCACCTTTGGTTTCTTACAGGAGAGAGTTTTCAGAGCTTTTGGAGAAGTATGGGTCCAGCAGTAGTACTGGGTCGACACGCAACTCTCCCATCCAGCATGGTAGGACCTCCCTCCTCCCTGTTTGTCCAAATGGTATGTCCTGTCTCCCCCCTCTATTTCAACATGGTATAACCTCCACAAATACTGTATATGTACTGTCTCCCCCCCTCTATTTCAACATGGTATAATCCCCACAAATACTGTATATGTCCTGTCTCCCCCTCTATTTCAACATGGTATAACCCCCACAAATACTGTATATGTCCTGTCTCCCCCCTCTATTTCAACATGGTATAACCCCCACAAATACTGTATATGTCCTGTCTCCCCCCTCTATTTCAACATGGTATAACCCCCACAAATACTGTATATGTCCTGTCTCCCCCCTCTATTTCAACATGGTATAACCCCCACAAATACTGTATATGTCCTGTCTCCCCCTCTATTTCAACATGGTATAACCCCCACAAATACTGTATATGTCCTGTCTCCCCCCTCTATTTCAACATGGTATAACCCCCACAAATACTGTATATGTCCTGTCTCCCCCCTCTATTTCAACATGGTATAACCCCCACAAATACTGTATATGTCCTGTCTCCCCCCTCTATTTCAACATGGTATAACCCCCACAAATACTGTATATGTCCTGTCTCCCCCTCTATTTCAACATGGTATAACCCCCACAAATACTGTATATGTCCTGTCTCCCCCCTCTATTTCAACATGGTATAACCCCCACAAATACTGTATATGTCCTGTCTCCCCCCTCTATTTCAACATGGTATAACCCCCACAAATACTGTATATGTCCAGACTCCCCCCTCTATTTCAACATGGTATGTGCTATATCTTAAACACATATCCAGCTCAGTATATGACAGTGATGACTTCCCATCCAATCAAAACTATTTGTCTTGATCTTTATTGTTCACCTCCCCTTTTAAACCATGTTTTTACCATGCTCAGACACCCTCCTATGAAATCAGCAGCGCCACCACTTTACTTTACAGCAGTAAAATGTGTTTGTGTACTATATAACCAGATTCAAAAGGAAACCTTTCTGATCATAGTAACTTACAGAATTACTTTACAGCAGTAAAAATAGTTCAGTTACCTTTGGTTGTTGAAAGAGTATCCATGTGATGCTCTGTAAGTCATACTGAGGTTGAAGCCCCCTTGCGTTAGGAGAAGTCTGTCATTGTCAATGTTGCTGTTGTTGTTGTGTATTTGGAGTTCATCTCAGGTGACATGTTACCTTGTTTTGCCTAGTTTTTCATCATTGGGGTCAGTGAATTGCAATGACATCTCAAGGAAATATATTTCAATGGAAATATATGTTTTCATGAAGCAAATAACCCCAGCATTAGTTTTGCATTTTAATGCCCAAATCAAAGAGAACTATATAAGCGCAGTAACATCCCTTCTGTATGACAGGCCATTTATATTCATGTCCGTTTCATTGTGGATTTCAGGGCTAAAAACTAAATAGCACACACACGGGTCAGCATGTAGAGTATTATTTACAGCTTAGAGGAGATCAAGCTTACTAAACTAAACACTTGTCAGGAAATGCTTTATGAAGTCCTGGGGTAGCTGCTGTCCGGAAAGTGTGTGTGTGTGTGTGTGTGTGTGTGTTGTGTGTGTGTTGTGTGTGTGTTGTGTGTGTGTGTGTGTGTTGTGTGTGTGTGTGTGTGTGTGTGTGTGTGTGTTGTGTGTGTGTGAAGTCCAGGGGTAGCAGCTCTCTACTCCGCTCCGGAGCGTTTAATAGGATATCTGTAGAGGCAGGAAACTGACTGACTGGTAACTCCTCTTTCATCATGTAGAAGTACCTAATTGCACTGCCCTCTGGTGGAACGTCTGGAGACCCTGTTTGCGTTCCAAGACCCTGTTCCTTGTCTCTAACTGTTCACTGTCTGAACTGTTCCCTGGTTCTAACTGTTCACTGTCTCTACCTGGTCCCTGTCTCTAACTGTTCCCTGTCTCTACCTGTTCCCTGTCTCTAACTGTTCCCTGTCTCTACCTGTTCACTGTCTCTACCTGTTCACTGTCTCTACCTGTTCCCTGTCTCTAACTGTTCCCTGTCTCTAACTGTTCCCTGTCTCTAACTGTTCCTCTCTATGTTCACTGTCTCTAACTGTCCCTGTTACGTCTCTAACTGTTCCCTTCTCTAACTGTTCCTGTTCTAACTGTTCCCTGTCCTACGTTACGTCCTAACGTTCCCTGTCTCTATGTCCCCTCTCAACGTTCCTGTTCTAACTGTTCCCTCTCTAACTGTTCCTGTCTCTAACTGTTCCCTGTCTCTAACTGTTCCTGTCTTCTACCTGTTCCTCCTTACTGTTCACTGTCCTAACTGTTCACTGTCTCTAACTGTTCCCTGTCTCTAACTGTTCACTGTCTCTAACTGTTCCCTGTCTCTAACTGTTCCTGTCTCTAACTGTCCCTGTCTCTACTGTTCCTGTCTCTAACGTTCACTGTCTCAACTGTTCCTGTCTCTAACTGTTCCCTGTCTCTACCTGTTCCCACTGTCTCTAACTGTTCACTGTCTCTAACTGTTCCCTGTCTCTAACTGTTCACTGTCTCTAACTGTTCACTGTCTCTAACTGTTCCTGTCTCTAACTGTTCCCTGTCTCTAACTGTTCCTGTCTCTAACTGTTCACTGTTTACTGTTCCCGTCTAACTGTTCCCTTATGTCCTCTCTAACTGTTCACCTGTCTCTAACTGTTCACTGTCTCTACCTGTTCACTGTTCTCTAACTGTTCGTCTCAACTGTTCCTCTCTAACTGTTCACTGTCTCTAACTGTTCCTGTCTCTAACTGTTCCCTGTCTCTAACTGTTCACTGTCTCTAACTGTTCACTGTCTCTACCTGTTCCCTGTCTCTAACTGTTCACTGTCTCTAACTGTTCACTGTTTCTAACTGTTCCCTGTCTCTAACTGTTCCCTCTCTCTAACTGTTCCCTGTCTCTAACTGTTCACTGTCTCTAACTGTTCACTGTCTCTAACTGTTCACTGTTCTCTAACTGTTCCTGTCTCTAACTGTTCACTGTCTCTAACTGTTCCCTGTCTCTAACTGTTCCCTGTCTCTAACTGTTCACTGTCTCTAACTGTTCACTGTCTCTAACTGTTCACTGTCTCTAACTGTTCCACTGTCTCTAACCTGTTCACTGTCTCTAACTGTTCACTGTCTCTAACTGTTCACTGTTTCTAACTGTTCCTGTCTCTAACTGTTCCCTTCTCTAACTGTTCCCTCTTTCTTCTCTAACTGTTCCCACTGTCTCTAACTGTTCACTGTCTCTAACTGTTCACTGTTCTAACTGTTCCTGTCTCTACTGTTCACTGTCTCTAACTGTTTCACCTGTCTCTCTAACTGTTCCTGTCTCTAACTGTTCACTTTCTCTAACTCTAACTGTTCCCGTCTCTAACTGTTCCCTGTCTCTAACTGTTCACTGTCTCTAACTGTTCACTGTCTTTAACTGTTCCCTGTCTCTAACTGTCGTCTCTACTGTTCCTGTCTCTAACTGTTCCACTGTTTCTAACTGTTCACTGTCTCTAACTGTTCCTGTCTCTAACTGTTCCCTTTCTATGTCACTGTCTCTAACTGTTCCTTCTAACTGTTCCTCTCTAACTGTTCACTGTCTCTAACTGTTCACTGTTTTGTCCTTAACTGTTCACTGTCTCTAACTGTTTCACGTCTCTAACTGTTCACTGTCTCTAACTGTTCCTGTCTCTAACTGTTCCCTGTCTCTAACTGTTCACTGTCTCTAACTGTTCCCTGTCTCTAACTGTTCACTGTCTCTAACTGTTCCCTGTCTCTAACTGTTCACTGTCTCTAACTGTTCCCTGTCTCTAACTGTTCACTGTCTCTAACTGTTCCCTCTCTCTAACTGTTCACTGTCTCTAACTGTTCCCTGTCTCTAACTGTTCACTGTCTCTAACTGTTCCCTTCTCTAACTGTTCCCTCTCTCTAACTGTTCACTGTCTCTAACTGTTCCCTGTCTCTAACTGTTCCCTGTCTCTAACTGTTCCCTGTTTCTAACTGTTCACTGTCTCTAACTGTTCCCTCTCTCTAACTGTTCCCTCTCTCTAACTGTTCCCTGTCTCTAACTGTTCCCTGTCTCTAACTGTTCCCTGTTTCTAACTGTTCACTGTCTCTAACTGTTCCCTCTCTCTAACTGTTCCCTCTCTCTAACTGTTCCCTGTCTCTAACTGTTCACTGTCTCTAACTGTTCACTGTCTCTAACTGTTCCCTGTCTCTAACTGTTCCCTGTCTCTACCTGTTCCCTGTCTCTACCTGTTCCCTGTCTCTAACTGTTCCCTGTGTCTAACTGTTCCCTGTCTCTAACTGTTCAATGTCTCTAACTGTTCCCTGTCTCCTCCATTCTAAGCAGGCAGATACCTGGACAGCACATCGTCCGGGTCCTCGTCACGCTCCCAAAGTCCTTTGCTTTTGAGTCCTGCTGGCTCTCAGAGCACCTACAACAACCCGCTACTTCGCTCCCTCAGGTAGAACTATTGTAGTGAATTCAGGGGGTAGCCCCGACAGGGACTCGACCCGGGTCCAGTGACTGTCAACCCAACACCTTAGCCGTTACGCCAAGCGATCCAAACCTCTTGACAAGGTGGCTAGGTGTCGCGTTAAGGTTGCTACAATATAGTACAGTTAAACCGTTGATGTTGATGTATCTGCTGAATGAATGGGTTGTACAGTTAGTTGACCTGTGTCTGTGTTCTACTATCTGTGACTGTTGCTGTGACTGGGTGTGTAGGTCTGTGTTCTACTATCTGTGACTGTTGCTGTGACTGGGTGTGTATGTTTGTGTTCTACTATCTGTGACTGTTGCTGTGACTGGGTGTGTATGTCTGTGTTCTACTATCTGTGACTGTTGCTGTGACTGGGTGTGTAGGTTTGTGTTCTACTATCTGTGACTGTTGCTGTGACTGGGTGTGTATGTTTGTGTTCTACTATCTGTGACTGTTGCTGTGACTGGGTGTGTATGTTTGTGTTCTACTATCTGTGACTGTTGCTGTGACTGGGTGTGTAGGTCTGTGTTCTACTATCTGTGACTGTTGCTGTGACTGGGTGTGTAGGTC